AAATAGAAGAATGACCAGGTAACTCAAATACAAACACAAAGAACTTTGGGCTTATTCAGATTTACCCATATACTAGTTAAATAGCAGAAATAGCTGATGAACATTTACTCACTGTGGGCAGGTCTACGCTATCGCTTATGTCGATATAACTTACGTCATTCAGGGGTGTGAAAAAGCCACCTCCCGAGCGACACAAGTTACAGTGACCTAAGCGCTGTCTACTCTGGTGCTATGTCTGTGGGAGATGCTCTCCCGCCAATATAGCTTCTTCTGGTCATTGTGGGTGGTTTAATAGAATAGCTACACAGGAGACCTTACAGCAGTGCAGCTGCATTGGTACACCTGTGCTGCTGTAAGGTCTCTAGTGTAGACATGGCCTAGCCATAAGATTTGTGTGTGTGTGTGTGTGTGTGTGTGGGCAGGCAGGGGAGACATATTACTTGAGAGGAATTGAAGGGCTGCCACTAAGGATGTTTGTGAACATCAAAAACTTCACTGATTATTTACCTGAAAATTCATACTGGAAGCACGTGATTTGCCTGCTTCAGTCATCCAGCGTTTCTTCACACAATGCAGTCAACCTGTGGAACTCTTTGCCAGAGGATGTTGTGAAGGCCAAGACTATAACAGGGTTGAAAAAAGAACTAGATAAATTCATGGAGGATAGGTCCATCAGTGGCTATTAGCCAGGATGGACAGGGATGGTGTCCCTAGCCTCTGTTTGCCAGACGCTGGGAATGGGCGACAGGGGATGGATCACTTGATGATTACCTGTTCTGTTCATTCCCTCTGGGGCACCTGGCACTAGCCACTGTCGGAAGACAGTATACTGGGCTAGATGGACCTTTGGTCTGACCCAGTGTGGCCATTCTTATGTTCTTATCCAGTGAAAGAGAGGAAAAATAATACTATGTTGCATAGGTGTCTTAAATCTCATGACACAACAAATAGTGTCTAGCTGAAATGGAGAGGTCATGAATAACTTTTAGTCCAAAAACTGTTTGTCCACCCATTTGTCAAATATGTAAAAATTTATTCAGAAGAAATCAGGATTCATTCCTGAACAATTTGCTAAACAAAACAAGATATATATTTGAAACATAGTTCAGCCAGCATTGCTGGCCACCAAGCTCTATTGGTGGAGTCAGGTTCTTTCCTGCAGACCCTGGATTCCTAGCCCTAGAAGAAAGAGCTACTTCCTCTTTTATGCAGGACAACAGGTAAGCACAACCCAGAGAAAAATCCCCTGGTTGTTTAAAGACCCAGTAGGCCAGGAATGCTTTTAGACTACTGAATAAAAACTAGTGAAAGCGGAGCGAGAGGGAAGGAGAAAAAACAGGGTGAGATGTCACCACACAAAAGTAGGGTATTTTCATAATGAAAATAGCCGATGTTTCTGACTTTTTCATGTGGTAAGCTCCAACAAAAACTGAACCCTGTTACATCTTCCCGTACGTACCAGCATATTTTCATATACGTACGTGTTTGCACACATTCCTGCTTGACCAAGCAAGCCTCAATCTAAATGACAGCCACAAAGAAATCCACAAAACAGGTCCTCAGAAGAGCAGCAGTGAAATCAGAACTAAGGCAGCGAAGTGCACAGCACAGTTTATGGCTGTGCTGTAGAGGGAACGGATTCAGAGGTACTGTTTAAGGATCTGCAAAATTGGTTCCAAGCTGCTGTCCATAGCCTTAATCAGCCTGCTGTAATCTGGGGAAGGTAGAGTGAGTTTTATTACCTCAGAAAAATGATCAGCTGAATAAGGGGCTAGTTTTGGTAGGTTGTCCATTTGGTACTTCAAAAATTACAGTTCTGAATGGACTGGGGGTGTTATTTCCCCAGAGAGCACCTGCCATACCCTCTGCAACCCTCCAAGTGCTCTGTGAGAACAAAGCCGCTGGAGGGAGCCCATTTTCAGGGGCAGAGATTTTGTGAGAAGCCACTGACGGAGGGTTGGAAGTATCTGACAGTGTTTCAGGCAAGCCCCTCTGGCCTGTGGTGCTTAAACACAACATTGAGAAAGGGAAGAAAAAGAAAGAGGAGAAAAGGATCACAGACTCTTTCAGGCTCCTAGATACACAGAGGAATATCAAGAGTTAGTACCATTCTGTTAGAGCAGGACACTTTTTTTTTTTTTGTAATGCTTCCAAGGTGATAGAGATACCATAGATCAAGGGTGTCAAACTCATTCTGTTGAGAGGGCCAAATACCATTATTAATTATTGTCTATTGGCCAGGCTACAAGTTTTAAGACTATATAGAGTAACTCCTCACTTAAAGTCATCCCGGTTAACGTTGTTTCATTGCTGATCTATTAGAGAACATGCTCGTTTAAAGTTGCGCAATGCTCCCTTACAATGTTGTTTGGCAGCTGCCAGCTTTGTCCACTGCTTGCAGGAAAAGCAGCCCATTAGAGCTAGCTGGTGGGGGCATGGAACCAGGGTGGAAGGGTGGACCGGCAGCCCCCCTGTCAGCTCCCCTAAGTTACCTGTGTGGCAGCCACCCAGCAGGCTATCAGTTGCCGGGCAGTTCAGCTGTCCCTCCCCCCCCTGCCATGTGCTGCTCCTGCCCTCTGCCTTGGAGCTGCTCTTGGGAGCCTCCTGCTTGCTGTGCAAGGGGGGGCAAGAGGGGTGCTAATGTCAGGGTGTCCCCCTCCTCCCCACTCCTGCCCCCCACTCCTTTACTCCATCTCCACAGAGTGGGGCAGGGGGGCACACAAGGCTCAGGACAGAGGCAGCTTGCTGGCAGCAGCTGCTGTCTCAACTTGCTGATTTACTTAAAAAGGCAATGTACTTAGAGTGGTGTCAGCGACCTTAAAGGGGCAATGTGCATCTCTCTCACACACGAGGTGTGTTTCTCTCTGCCATGCTGTCTCCCCTTCCTCCATTTGTGCTGCCTTGTAGAGTGTGAGGCTACATTAACAACAATGTGTTAACCCTTGAGCGCTCAGCCGATTGCAAGTTCATTATTTAGCAGTAAGGCATTCCCTGCGAAATTTCCCACCCTCTTCCACCCTCTGATTCCACCACCTCAACCAAGCTTCACAATCATCATTGCTGTGTACAGTATTAAATTGTTTGTTTAAAACTTATATACACACACACACAGTATAAAATATAGTCTTTTGTCTGGTGAAAAAAAATTTCCCTGGAACCTAACCCTCCCTCTTTACATTAATTCTTATGGGGAAATTGCTAAATTCCATCTGCTAAAATGATCAACAATGACATAGTTAATGCTGACATTAAAGTGACATTGGGCTTTACATTTAACACCCCAATGAAGTGAATGCCCCGGTCCCCACTAACACATCCCAGAATCAGTGCTGCAAACGGACTTGGGAAGACATCATTGCATTGATTTATACCTGCCTCATATTTGGAAGGTTAACGTCTCATTTTTAATAAAAGCTTTTTGTCCGTCTTAGTAAGGAGCTCCTAACCACTAGGCCATCCGGCCTGCCTGCTGGAATGATAAGAGAGAATTAAGAACCAGACTACCTGTGTACTATTCCAATTTCTGCCACAAACTGCCTTGGACAAGTCACTTACCCCCTCTGATCTCAATTTACCGACCTGTAAATTGGAGATACGCTTCCCCACCCACATGAGGGTGTGTGTCGAGGCTGAGAGAAATTACTGTTTTCAAAGTGATTTGGTATTTGTAGATAGAAGGTGCTTTAGTGTGCTAAACTGTAGTATTTATCCATTGATGTGTGTGTGTGAGTAGTTTCTGGTGCTGGAACCTATCTGACAGTGTTTGAAGCAGCTACAGGACTGTCTTTGGACTGTTACAGCTGGCATGCTACCAAGTGCCCCCAAAAGACTACACCACAGGTCAGGTGACCCCCTACGAGGAAGGTGGTGAGGGGAAGTGTCTGATTTTGGTTACACTTGTCTGGCTGATGCTTAGTATCACTGATAACAGTTGAGCCTTATCACTTCCCTTACATCATATCAGCTCTCACAGCAGTAGAACAAGATGTTATAAAACCACCACCCACTTAAACATTTAATGCAAAGGAGGAAACAACTGAACTATAAACACATCCAAAACTTTATTGGGGTGAGGTGGAAGGTCAAGTGACCCAATTGTTGAAGGAGAAATTGGCTTTCAAGATTCAACTACAGAATCTGTCTTCCTTCTATTCCCTTTCCCACATCCAGCAGCTACTTTGATAGTGCATTTCCTCCCTCTCCCCCTCCCCCCCAGGGAGACAGGTTCTCTGATCTTTGAAGCTGGTATTCCCACCCCTTCTAGTGACATCATCAGGGACAACAATTCTATGGTAGTAGCTGATCTCAGTCCATAAGGAGAGGGAACACTGCACATTCTAATTACTTATGTCAAGCGGCCTTGTGACTTGTCTCAATTCTACTGCTGGGCTGGGGCTTCCTCTTTCTTCTTCCATAGACCTGTTAATTTTTCCATCAGCTGTTCTGCCAGCACACTGATTTTAGAGGTCTCCTTCATCAGGAAGTTCCTGTAGGAGACAGTAACACATCAGTAAGGTACATGTCTGGGTGGGGTACCCGCTGTTTCTATTTTCATAGGGCTGCCACTCTCTCATATTTGCCTGTGGGACAAATTAGTCCTGGCAAATGAGTCCATTAATATGGCTGTGGGACTCCTGAACTGCCCTGTAGGGATTCAACTCAGGAGGCAAGATAGGTGTGTGGCTGTGAGTAGCAATATAGAACTGTGTATCCCCCAGGTGTGCACACTTCCTGTTTCTGCCTGCCATCATCCGTTACCTGGGGAATAGATATTTACCACCCCTGCTTTCCTTGTCAAAAATTTCAATTTTTCATTTGAAAACTGAAAAATTCTGCCCAACCCCCTGATTTTTCTCATTTTGACAAAAAGTCAAAATTTTCCAGGGGGAAGGAGAGATAACATGGTCCAAGCAGCTCTAATGATAAGGTTAGTTCTAAGCAGAGGCAGGCAAACTTTTTGGCCTGAGGACTGCATCGGGTTCCAGAAATTGTATGGAGGGCCGGTTAGGGGAGGGGGTCGTGGCCTGGCCCACACCTCCTATCTGTCTCCCCCCCCCCCCCCCCCCCCCCCCCCCCCCCCCCCCCCCCCCCCC